CCAAACCTTTGTAGTATTTGATTTTCCAGTTTTTGGAGTTAGTGTTGCTGTTCTTCCATTCTTGAAATTCAGGAATGCTATAGAAAGGAATTTCTTCTTTGTTTTTAGAAACCTATGAAAAAGCCAAATATCTCATTTTGAAGAGTTAACAATATGACTAATGAATTTTAGTAAGAATATTTTCAATTGCTAAAGTTACCACTCAAACCGGTGGGGAAGCTCACCTTTACAAGGGGAGTAATGAATTCTTCTAGGAAACGATGTTTCAGAAGAGAAGGCCAATAATGATGAATGAAGTTAATCAATAAACCTTTGATATGGGTACCATCTTGATCCTAGAAAAATGTTCAGAAGATAAAAATTTCATCCATTGGTGTTGAAAAAGTCAATAATCCTTACTAGCTTTATATTCCGAGGCCAATAGTAATTGATCTTCTGATTACAGCATTTTTGTCAGCTTTGCCCGTAGTGACTGTTGTCAGATGTTATACTACAATACCTATATAATTTCCCATCCAGGTGTCATTTATGGATTATGAAGTTCAACGCTTGTGAGCAAGATTGTTTTACAGTGTAAAACCAGTTATGACTGTTATGTCTAACAACAGACTCCAACTGATCCACTGTAATTGATAAAGAATTATGGCCTAATCAGAATGCTGCTGTTATAGGGCATTTATACAGAAATAACGACACAATAGAAATGCTCCTTTACTAATCCACTAGTTATTATTAAATATTTTTGAGTGCTTGATTTCTACGTTTCTGGGAGTTGGGAACGGTTTACATCAAGAAGTACTTTTTCATATGGTCCCTTTCCGGTTGCTGATGAGATTCTATTTTGCATCTTAGCTGAGAACTGAAGGAAGTTATTCTCTCTTTTTGTTTCTTTGATAGCAACTTTGTGATAAGTCTAAGGGGACCTATGTTTGTCCTTTCTTTTTTAATTAAAAAAACCCAGGGAATTCCAATACATTTGAGCAAAAGTATTTTAAAATACTTCAGTTTAAAGTAAGTTTTATACTTCCACATTACCTCAGAATATTTGAATTAGCCACTTTGTTAAGAGTTTGGAATAAATAAAAAGTAAGTTTTTCTGCAAAGATACCCCTTCAGATGTCACCCCAGGAACCTTTTTTAAAAAATAAAATAAGTGCAAAAAATGAACTGGAAATTCTGTTGTGTTATAACGAACATATTATTGCTAAGATTTATAAAATGGTGTTAACTTGAACTTGGAGAATGAGTGTTATGTCTCCCCTTTAATTGCAGGCGAGCAAAACAAAAAGGAGCCGTTTCAGAATTAATTCAAATCAAAAACAACCCCCCACAAGAGAACGGCTGGAGTAATTCCAAAACACAGCAATAAATCCACACTCTGTCCGGCAATCCTGGCGTAGCAGTAATTCACAAGCCTCAGAGTTTATTGCATATCTTCACTCCATTTAGACACTTTGCTTCTGGCGAGTTCCACCAGCCCAGCCGTGTCCTTTTATCCACTTATGGATCGTGTTAATTTCCCTAATTAATTACTGGCTAGACGCCTCCTCCCTAAATGCGATTGACGTCTGAGCCTCCTTCTGTTTCTGACATCAAGCCATAAATTCTCCAAATTGTCTTCTCCACTGGAAAACTCTCTCATGCCTTCCCTGTCAGCCATTCCCGGCTGCTGCTCAGATAAAGAACCAGAGGAGGTCGAAGGTCCTGACAACTCTATTAACTCAGGTTTATCTCCCCTTGTTACATCCATCTCCTCATCCTGGCTACTATCCAAATCACTAAGCAATGCCGGCTCATATTTTGCTGCCATATCCTCATCGCTTGAACTTATATCTGCCACAGGAGCAGATTCCAAACCCGGAGCCACAACAAATGAGTATGTGAATCATTGTATGATTCAATGGGCAAAGTATTTGGATATAATACCTGAACCATAAGAAAATATGTGCTTTAAATTATAATTAAATTATAATTAGTTACATTATAATTTTTTAAAAAAATTATAAGATGATGTACCATTGGTAAGTAACATCGGATAAATTGTCAAGTATAAAACGTACCTCAAAAATGGAAATGAATCTTAATATAGAAGATATTTAAAATTAATATAAAGAAAAAACCAGAGATTTTTCATTTAGGTTTAATGGATAAAGAACTAAAAAAAAATGGAACTTTGAAGTTATATGTTGACTTTATGCACAAAAATGAAGGATACTTTGATTCCCACAATGGACGAACGGCTACAAAAGTTGATGAAGTTAGCAGAGATGGTTTAATTGACTGCTTTGATTAAAACAGCTTTTGGATTTTTTGCCGTAATGGGGGAAAAAAATCCTGAAGCTTTGGTTTTGGGTTTTGCTGATTAGATAGGTTTATTGTTACTATTATTATTAGTAGTAGTAGTAGCAGCAGCAGCAGCAGTAAAATGTTGAGGATATGTTATTATCTTATTGTACTGAGCCAAAAAGTGTTGGAAATCAATTATTTTCTTCATTTTCTCCCCTTTACTCTAGACTTTTTTCCTTTTCCCCTTCCCTATTTTCATTTTTCTTTGTATTTCCATATTTTGATAAATAAAACATGAAATCCAGAACATCTGAATTAAGAGACATTATTATAGCCACTAAAGTCATTGGAAAAGACTGGCTTGGGGAATCCCTTTGCCTGAATGCAATACCATTGTCTCTCGCCCTACGACTGACCTGATCAGTCATGATCATGATCTTTCCATAGCGGAGGCTTTTGAGCGATTCTTCATCATCGTAGCTCTTCTTGTATTGCAGCCCCATAATCTTAATAATGTTGTTAATTTCAGCATTCTCCATTATCTGAAAAAGCCCAGTATTTCCTTAGAATCACTATACAAATTTATTCCGCACACATTAAACCTGGAGAGAGGCATTAAGTACCCGTCACCTCAACTCACCTATTCCTTTAAAATCTATAGCACATTGCAACTCAAAGCAGATGGCAGGATATCAGCAGATATTTCATCAAAGGGAGTAGGGATGATACTTTTAGCCTGTTTTTTTTTTGGGGTGGGGGGTAGGAAGAAGTTTTTTCTATTTCAAATATTTATAGATGAAAAGAACCCAACATTTAACTGATATTTTATTACTGAATCACAGCAGCACAACTTGGGGGATAAATCCCTCCAGGTGTTGCAAGTAACCAATATATTACCTATTCTAATAATCACATTTCACAGTAGAGATTCATTTGAGCAAAGGGGATAGTCATTATACCGGTGAAAAACGATAGCAAAACTCTTACTTTAAAAACCAATCACTGCATGGTTTTAGAAATACACCTTTGAGTTAAAGTTTAAACGAGGGCTAATGCTTCTGGTTTTACACATTTAAAAAAAAATTCAGTTCCTCAACTTACAACCATTCACTTAGTGACCAATGTTACAATGGCACTGAAAAAAGTGACTTATGGCAAGAAAAGTTGTAAAACGCGGCAGAACTCACTTAGCAACTGCTTTGATTAGCAATGGATGTTTTGGGCTCTATTGTGGTCTTAAATTGAGGATTACCTATAGGGATCACAGCAATGTTTGCAAAATATTGCTAACTAACCTGCTTGTGGGAGGCTTCCCGTACATTAAGAAGTTTTCCTCGCAGTGGAAATACTCCAAATTTGTCCCTACCCACAACTCCAAGGCCGGAAACAGCTAATGTCTTAGCTGAATCTCCTTCTGTCAAAATGAGAGTGCAGTTGATTGAATTCTTGCTCCCTGAAAGAGAATTAAATATCATAAACCAGAGCTCCATTTAATAGTACACTACAGATGCTCTCCTAAGAAGCAGAGATTTCATTCATGCTTTGGTAAAAACACAGTTGAGCTGGGGTTCAGGAAAAGGAGATGGATAACTTTGAGGAGTTAGCACTCCCTGAGCTTCCTTGTTTTCTTGTAGATGTCTTATTATCCAAACTTGGTAAGGTAATCAGTGCTAGTAAGGACTGGGATTTGCTCTCAATGTTATATTCGAGCGGCTTGCCCTGTTAACATCGATGGGAATAGTTTTGGTTGGGCTGCTTTCACCCAAGCATCTGAATTTTGATCACACGTTTGGCAGTTCTTGGTTGGGATATTGCTTGCTTCTAGTGTTGATCTTGGTGTTAATCTCTGCTCATCTGGTGGTGAGGTGTTGTGATATTTTTGTTCCCTTTTTTGGTTTATTGTTTTTCCTTTGAATGATATATGATGTCAAATTTGGGTAATGAAACTTCTACAACAAAATAACCAAACTCAGAGAGCATCAAGGACCTCTTGTTTCAATCCTGAGCTACAAAAACTCTTCTCTATGGATAATTTTGTCTACAATGTAAACTGCCTCAAAGTGAAGTTTTGGTTCTTTTCTATCCATTAATCCCAAGAATCCTAATCCCCCACAAAATTGTCTATGTACCATTTCTATAACTATAAACTAAATTTGAACCTTGTATTCAGGAGTTGCAGTCTTACAAAAGAGGTGAATAGCCTTCTTACAACCTGGAAGGGCAGGACAAACATTTTTCGTATTCTGTCCTGACATTTGAGAGCTTCAATTATTTTAAAGGGCACAAAAAAAGGTTATTCCAGCATTTGGCATCCTCATGTTGAAGAATTTATTGGGGTGTCAAAAAGGTAGTGTAGGGCTGTGAGTAGCTGAAGAATTACCTATCCCTGTACCCATCGACTTAATTAACTAGTAAAAAACAGGAGGGCTTCAGTGCTTCTAACACTTGAACGCATACCAGCATCATTGGCATCATCTAGTTTAGGAATGCCTTTAATTCGAGTGTGCTTAACAGCGGAACATTTCTGATTTAGTTGTGTCTGGGCTTTAAATTTAATCCAGTTCAAAATGTTTTCCACGATGCCGCAACCAACAGCCTAGAAAACAAAAATGAAAAATGATGTTGAAAGAATTCTGAATTGTTCCATAAGATGTCTTATTGCTGGATTAATTCATTTTTTGCTCATCAGAATTCCCAGAACAAATTATGAAGCAAACCTTTTAGTACTCACCCCCTTGATGAACTTTTCACTGAATTTGCATGTTGAACCAAAATTCTTCGTTTGAAGAGTCATATTCTCCTTGGTTTGCGAGTCAAACGTTGGATTTTCAATCAGACTGTTTATGAATACCCACATATGATTCTTCACCTGGAATTAAGATAGTACATTTTTAGCAAACTGGTTGACTGTATTTCCCAAGCAACTCTCAATATAGCTGTTGAAAAATGATGGACAAGAACGTCTGCCAAAAACATCATGTTATCTTCAAAATTGATAGAGATGCTCAAACAAAGTGATCAATCACTACACAGAACAAAACCAGGATTTCTAAAAGCATTATTTACTGGCTTAAAATGCTCTACAGGATCTGAAAGCTAGGTTATGCAAGGCTTTAGATTCAAAGGCACTAATGTATTTTAGGGCATGTGAGAATGCACAGTGAAGTTGTCTGAAACTTTTTCAAAATTACAAACGATACATTCATTTTAGGGAATAGACAAATGTTACAAGTGTCTTC